ACACACACACACACACACACACACACACACACACACACACACACACACACACACACACACACACACACACACACACACACCACACACACATTCACACACATATACACACACGCACACAGAACACACACACAGCACACAACACACACCACACAACACACAACACACAACACACACACACACACACACACCCCAGCTTGGCCACAATGCGTGGAAAAGAGGGCGCCGACGCACCAAATTACGCGCGAATGTCTGCGCTGCGGACCCTCTTTTCTTCCGTTCGTCGCTCACACGACGCGATCTGCATACTGGGGGGGGCGTATTTGACAGGGAACCCTTAAGATAAGGACTCCAGGGTCTGGAGGCCGGTGGAACTCCAATCGAGGCTTGGCCATGGAGATCACCGCCGCCCTCATCAGATAAGGAATCCTCCAGGGTCTGCAGCATCCTGGGCGCATTCCTAAACCAACGCCTCCACCGTACCGGGGGCGCAGCGTCGGACCCCCTCGCTGGAAGTCAGCCCGATGGCGCTGGCTTCGCTGCTCCTCCATGGAATCCCCATTTTGGGGGGAGCAAGGAGGCCTCATGCCGCTACAGTCCTCGTGCTACCATGAGGAACGCCAGAGAAGGAACGACGGTCAGACTGAGGGTGCGGAACGGTCAGTCACTGCCCCTGGGTGCGTGGCTGAAGTGCGACTCCGCGGCGCGGATTCTGCATGTTGTTGCTGCGTTGCGCAACTGCTGTGATCGTCCCACCCGCGACTCGCCCGCGACCCACCCGCGACCCACCCGCGACCCCCCCGCAACCCCACCCGCGACCCACCCGCGACCCATCCCGCGACCCACCCGCGACCCACCCGCGACCCAAACCGCGACCCACTGGCGACCCACCCGACCCGCGACCCACCTGCGCCCTACCCGCGACCTACCCGCGACCATCCCACGACCCACCCACGACCCCTCCCATTGCTTCCGTTGTTTTCTTTTTGGGGAAAAAACGCCTGCGGCGGGCTCGTTGTATACTTTGCAAAATTGGGCGCCTGCGGCGGAGTTCTTCAGAGCCTCGCAGGCTGCCGACGTCCCCGCCGCCCCCTCCACTCTTACCGGCAACTGCGGGGTGCTACATCTTTGAAGTGGCCCTGGGACACACAAACAAATAGACACAAATAACAGAATTCGCCACATGTTCTGCGTTTCCGTCTTCCCCCCAAACTTTCCATATTTTCGCATAGTTTCCTGGGAGTCGACGATTCCTTGTGCCTGTGTGTTTCTTCCCCTCCTGAATCTTCCTGGCCACGTCCAGCCTCGACCACGAAGAGGCCTTCCGCTTTCATGGAAAGCCCCCTCGCTGGCCCCGACGTGCCTCGCACACCCGGACCCTTCTCGGGGATCTTCTGCCCCGGGTCAATCCAGACCCGGGTCAGCAGGAAACCAACTAACTGCAATGCAGGACAACAAAAATTGCAACGCAGGTCTTCGCAAGCCCGGGTCAGTCAATATGCGCGGCCGCCTCGCGGCCACGAGCGGCTCGCTAACCCAGGTCAGCCAGAGGGGGTCTTCGCAGGATCCTGCAGGATCCGGTGCCCTGGCTGAGCCCCGTCTGCATTGACCCCCTTCTCAAGGCTCCCGACCCTCACTGGCTGCGCTCGGACCTGAGGAACCCTAAATAAGGAACGAGGCCCCCTTTTTTCCATAAATTGAACTTCGATTTCGTGTCGGAAACCTAAGGACAATCCAAGGCAAGCTGCGAAACACGTAAGGAACACGGAGCCCCTCCCCAACGAACAGGGGTCCTTCGTCAGGGCCCCGACTGTACCCCAGCCGCGGCGACGATGCATCCGCAGGACGCCTGCCCGCAGGCGCACCTCTGCCCCCGCCCCTGCTCGGCGGCAGGCCTCGGAGCCCCGCGACCCGACGCCCCCGGCGCCGGCAGGGATCCCCCCCGGCGCGGCGGCGACGCGGACGACGCGACGCCGGCGACGCCGACCCTGCAGCCGACGGCGGCGACGCCGGCTGCGACGTGCGGCGCTCTGGCGCCGAGGACGTCGCCGACGCGTCCGACGGCGTCGGCGACGCCAACGGCGGGCGGCGCTGGCGCCAAAGGCCACGCACGAGCCGCCCAAGAGAGAGAGGGGAAGCCCCCCCCGCCCCTGGCGAGGGGTCCCCCGCGGGGCTCTGGCCGCTCCGCTCACACCTCGTCGCGCTGCACCCGGTCCTGGTCGTCAGGGTGGCCCTGCGCGCGGCGCGACGGCGAGGACGACGGCGGCGGCAGCGGCGACGGCGGCGGCGGCGACGGCAACGGAGGACAGCGCGCACACCTCGAGAATCGATCGCCCCCCACCTCCTTGGGCCGCCTTGGGGCGATCTTGGGGGCCTCTCGGGCCGTCTTGGAGCGTCGGCAGCCCGACAAGGCGAGAATGCGCAATCCACCCAAAACCATTGGGAAATCAACGATCCCAGCAGAGCATCCCAATAGCAGCAGAGGTGAACACGCATGCCGAGGAGCAGGCGAAGCACGGCCAGGAGCCTCCGAGGAGGAAACCGCGCAGCCATGACAAGGGTGTGAGCACGGCCACGTGCACCTGAGCGCATGCTACACAAAAGACCGTGGCCGTCCGGACAAGACCTGCAGCAAGCGTGTCGAGGCGAGCGCACGATTCCTGAAGAAAGCGTGAGGAGGTCTCGGGCGAAGCGGCTGCTGGAACGGGCGGTCTTGTGGGACTCTTCTGTTCTGCTCTTGACACTCTCAGAACTCTGCTAGCGACAAGCTATAAGGGACTTATCCGGGCTTCTCAGAGCCCTCATGGGACTGCTCTTGAGGCTTTCTTGGGGCGTCATGGGGGCCTTTTGAGCCGTCCTGAGGCCATCCTGGTCTCTCTGCACACGGCTCGACTACCAAGGATGGCTCCCAACCGGCTGCACAGTGCCCGCCGACGGGCCCAAGACGGCCCCCAGCGACACCCAGGAGGCTCCGAGGCATCCCCGAGAGGCCAATACGGCCCCCAGTGACACAAAGCAGGCTCCAGTCGGGGCGGGCGAAAGGGGGGGATAGCAAAGGGGGGTTTGAGAATCAGCTCACGTGGCTGATTTTCCCGGCGCCTCCTGGCGCCGGAGGCGGCGATGTATCGAGGAACGGGCTCCTCGGCGGGGCCGAAACCAGCTGCACGCAGCAGATTTCGTACCCCCCCCCTTTCCCTATCCCCCCCTTTCGTCCAGCCCAGTCCAGGTGTCCCCGAGAGGTCACTCAAAAATCCCCACGAGAACCCCGCGAGAAGAGGCCCGCCGCGAGGCCCGGGGAGGCCCAAGCGAAGGAAACATGGCCTGCGGCGAGCTGGGTCCGACGAGCGGTCGGTCAACCGGTCGGACATGTCCGTTGCGAGCTGAGGCGCGGGGGCGCGAGGGCGGGCGAGGAGGAGGAGGAGGAGGAGGAGGAGGAGGAGGAGGAGGAGGAGGAGGAGGAGGAGGAGGAGGAGGAGGAGGAGGTGGAGGGAGGAGGAGAGAGAGAGAGGAGGAGGAGGAGGAGGAGGAGGAGGAGGAGATGAGAGGAGGAGGGAGTGGAGGAGGAGGAGGAGGATGAGAGGAGGGGCGCGAGGTGCCGGGCGAGAGGCGCGGGGAAGGAAGGCCGCCGCACCCTTCTGCCCACGGCGACCAAAGAGCGGTTTTTTGGATTCAGGCAAGGTTACTTTGCATGGCGGTCGCAACCCCCCCCCTCGCTCCTTTTCAAGCGAATACTAGCGTGCAAGTGCCTTTCGACTTGCGTGATTTCCGCGCCCCCCCGAACGTGCAAGTCGTTTGCGGCTTGCTTCAGGCTCAGCCCCCCCCCCCGTCCATGCAAGTAAACTTGCCAGAGTCTAAAAAAAAGGCTCCAAACACCACAAGCCCAGGGTGCATTCTGCTTCCGAAGCTGCTCGGCTCCAGCTCGGTTCCAGAACGCCTCAGCCCACGACCCCCCGGCACGGCACAGGCGGCAGGACCAGCCCGTTCCGGCAACCTGCCAGTTGGCAGGTCTGCGCCGGCGACAGCGGCAGGGCCTGCCGACGCTGCATCTCTTCACTCGCGGGCACTGGCACAGCTGTTCTGACACTGCCTTTCGTTTGTTATGATGTTCCTCGTCCGTCCGTCTTCCTCCTGCTCCTGCTCTCTCCTGCTGCTGCTCCTGCTCCTGATGATCGTCGTCAACGTCCTGCTCCCTCGTGGTCGCCCCCCGCGTGTGGTCGGTCGTCGTCGTTGTCGTCATCGTCGTCTTCCTTCCTGCTCCTCCTCCTCCCTCCTATCATGTCTTTTCTTCCACTCATCTTTCCCATGCCTGCTCAGCTCCATTCTTTTTCTTGATGAAGAACTCTTCCCTGTCGCACCCCGAGGCCGGTCGAAAATGCGGGCGTGAAGTTTCACCTGAGACTTACTCACCAGTTACGTGGGCAACAGTTTCACAGACGGAGGGCGTGCCTTTTCCAAAATATGGCTCTCGCCTTAGCGGTGCCTTTTCCAAAATATGCCTCCCACCAGCGCTCTGGGCGTAAGTGGTCTAGGGAGGCTCCTCTTCCAACCCCCTCCCTTCCCCATTTGGAAGGGGTTTATCACTGTCCCCTGTTTGTTCCCTAATAATATACACCCCCTCCCCCAGGCGACCGGCAGCCAACCAGGAACAATGACAACCCCATGAGGGCCCCCCCCCCATCCCTGTCAAAAAACCATACACAATACACTTCGGGGCAAAGTCTGGAGTCATGTTCGTGGGGGAGGCACCTCGAAGCTAAATCTGTATCATGCGCGACCACCCCGCGATCATTGTCAAGTGGTGCCGCAGGGCCTGCTGTGCGCAGGCCCACCAGACACACTGACGGGCATTGGTTTCCGACATGGATGGTGGACCGACATGTTTCCCGATGCGTGCTGTCACGTGCGCAGGCGCACCTGTCACCCTAGAGTGGGAGTAAGCTAGACGGCTTGCTATCTAGGAGGGTTTGTTGACCACTGTTCTGTATTGATATGCACCCCCTCCCCCAGGCGACCAGCGTCCAACCAGGAACCATGAGGACACCATGACGGCCCGCTCCCCACCAACCCTGTAAAAAAACAATACAAACCGCACTCTGTCTCCACATTTGGAGCATGCGCGGCCAACCCGATGCGGTTCCCCCCAACCACCCCTGTCAAAAAACCATACAAAATTCAGCTCGGGGAAAAGATTTGAGTAATGGTCGTGAGGCCCGCGAGCACGTTGTATTATTTTTGTCAGAGACGGCGGGGGTGTCAGCGTATTCCCTGCTGCGACCAGGGGTACCATCCCTGACTGAAAACCATACAACATGCACCTCGCGGCTAAATCTGGGCCATGGGTGGTCATCCCGCGATCGCTGTCAAATGGCTTTTGACAGGGACCGCGGGGGTGGTGGCGCGTGGCCTGCTGTGCGCAGGCCCACCAGACACAATGATGGGCATTGGTTTGCGATAAAGACGGTGGGGGCCGACATGTTTCCCGATGTGTGCTGTCACGTGCGCAGGCGCACCTGACGCACTCTGCACGTGCCCCGAACGTGGCGCACTTAACGCGGCTGGGGTATGCTGCACAACTGGTGCACGCGGAAGCACGTGGCGCATCTGGCGCCCCGGGCGTGCCTGGCACGCTCGGGCCCCAGGAGTGCCTGGCGCGCGTGGCGCCCCTGGCACGCGTGGCGCACCTCGCCCAAACGTCGCGCACCTGGGGTCGGCTTTGGTTCCCAGTAGCTGCCCATCCAAAGACGACCGCTGAACATGCTCAGGCTTGGGTGTTACTGATGTGTTGGGAAGGCGGGTGGGAGTGAGCTAGACGGCTTGCTATCTGGGAGGGTTTGTTGATCACTGCTCTTTATTAGTATACACCCCTCCCCCAGGCGACCAGCGTCCAACCAGGAACCATGAGGACACCATGACGGCCTGCCCCCCACCAACCCTGTCAAAAAACAATACAAACCGCACTCTGCCGCCACATTTGGAGCATGCGCGGCCAGACCGATGCGGTTCCCACCCAGCATCCCCATCAAAAAACCATACAAAATACACTTCGGGGCAGACGTCTTGAGTTATGGTCGTGAGGCCCGCGAGCACGTTGTATTGTTTTTATCAGGGACGGCGGGGGTGTCAGCATATTCCCTGCTGCGACCAGGGGTACCATCCCTGACTGAAAACCATACGACATGCACCTCGCGGCTAAATCTGGACCATGGGCGGTCATCCCGCGATCGCTGTCAAATGGCTTTTGACAGGGACCGCGGGGGTGGTGGCGCGTGGCCTGCTGTGCGCAGGCCCACCAGACACAATGATGGGCATTGGTTTGCGATAAAGACGGTGGGGGCCGACATGTTTCCCGATGTGTGCTGTCACGTGCGCAGGCGCACCTGACGCACTCACTCTGCACGTGCCCCGAATGTGGCGCACCTGGCGCGGCTGGAGTGGCGCACTCGGAACACGTGGCGCATCTGGCGCACCAAGCGTGCTTGGCACGCTCGGGCCCCAGGAGTGCCTGGCTCGCGTGGCGCCCCTGGCACGCGTGGCGCACCTCGCCCAAACGTCGCGCACCTGGGGTCGGCGTTGGTTCCCAATCGCTGCCCATCCAAAGACGAACGCTGAACATGCTCAGGCTTGGGTGTTACTTATGTGTTTTTGGAGGGCGGGTGGGAGTGAGCTAGACGGCTTGCGGGCGGGTAAGTAGCTTGACCCCTCCCCCTTACTACCCCCTCCACGGACCTGAACGGGGGGGGCGGCGGCGAAGCGGTGGAGCGTCCAAGATTGCCCAAGACGGCTCCAAGAGGGCACCTGAGAGTCACAGATGAGCTCCATGATGGCTCAAGATAGGGGACGATGCCTTAAAATGGCTCCCAAGATGCTCCCGGAAGCCCGTTTCCAAAATGGTGTCAAAAAGGCCTCCGGGACCTTTAAGGAGGCCCCCAAGAAGCCCAAATCCTTCAAAAACCTCAGGGAACTCGATGCTGCGTTCGAAGCTTCCGCATGCAAGCTCAATGGGAGCACACCTGCCTAGTTACCCTCTCCCTGGTCTCTCATTCTCCTTCTCCCCTCATCCCACCTCCTCCTTCTCCGACCTCTTCCCTTACCTCCGTCCTCCTCATGCTCCTCTTCCTCCTCCTCTGCCTTCTCTGCACGAAAGGGGAGAAGGGAGATGGACAGAAGGGGGGTCGGAGAGGCGAGGGAAGTGCCAGAATCGCCCGCCGCGCAAAGCACGTCACGGGCCCTGCCGCAACCCGCCTGCAAGACCCTTCCGAACAACGCCCATGATCCCCAGCGAACCGCGATCGAGTGCACTTGGCGCGCAGAGAAAGCACACATCGAATGAGACTCAAACGTGACACATGCAATTGAGTTGTGCAGACGCTGCTCACATGAGACCCGTCCACTAAGCGAGCAGGTCCCGACATCATCAAGAGCAGGCAACATCATACATCGCATACATCGAATCATGCGTGCTGCCTCCGGCGACTTCTCCTCGTCCTCAATGGTGAACGCGTCAGGTCCTGCACCCATGTCCTGCACCGGCTCAGCGGTGCAATGGCGAGACAACTCGCAAGCAAACCGAACGATGATGGGCCGCATGCCGAAGCGCAATGTGCCTGGAACAGCTGGACACAACCTGCACACGTCCTCGCTGCATCAGGTCCGTGCTCGGCCAAATCAAGCGCAGGGAGGAGGGGAGGAAGAACAGTGGCGCGAGCAACAGCAGGAGTAGGAGAAGATCAGCGTGGGAAAAAAACACAATTGAGCACTGGAGTTCGAACCCATCCCAGAGCTGCACGAGGTATGGACATACGTGCCTGCCAGCGACTCCTCACAAACGCCATACGGGCTTGTAAGACATCTGAGGATCGCCTGCGAGGTTAATATTCCCGCCTGGTGGCTACGAACGCTGGCACGAAGGCCCAGTCACACGCGACCAACCCGAATTCGATGTACTCCTCCCCTGCCGCAACGCGTCAGAATCTGATACTATCATCCGGGACCAAGACCTGGTTGCGACTCCTACCCAGGGCATCACACCCGCACACACAAACACACACACACACACACACACACCGAGAACGCTTCACACACGATGCCAGCCCCACGTCGGGATCACGCTCGGATGTGATGCCCGCCTTTTCTGTGCTTCAATTCCAGCTTCCTTTCCTTTCCTCCCTCTTCCTCTTCCTCTTCCTCTTCCTCTTCCTCCTCCTCCTCCTCCTCCTCCTCCTCCTCCTTCCCCCCCGCTTCCGAGTCACCCACCCCCCTTTCATTCGCCCAGCTCCCGCTCGCTACGATGAGCCCCCCGCGCGGGGACGGGGCGTTGTTCCCCCGTCCCCCCGGCCGCTCTTGGTCCATGTAGGCCTGACCGATGACCTCCTGCGCGCTCATGGAGCGGGGGCGGGAGGCGACGGCAAAGGGTGAACTTAGAGGAGGAGGAGGAGGAGGAGGAGGAGGAGGAGGAGGAGGAGGAGGAGGAGGAGGAGGAGGAGGAGGAGGAGGAGGAGGAGGAGGGTGGTGGACGAGAGGGCGGGATGGGGTGGGGGAGTGGAGAAAGGTGGGGGGCGGATGGTGAGGGAGAATCAGGAGCAAGATGACTCCAGCGTGGCATAGAAGAAGAATTTGAAGGAGGAGGGGGAGGGGGAGGAGGGTGGCGGACGAGGGGGCGGAATGGGGTGGGGGAGTGGAGGAAGGCGGGGGGCGGATGGTGAGGGAGAATGAGGAGCAAGATGACTCCAGCGTGGCATAGGAGAAGCAGTACAAGGAGGAGGAGGAGGAGGAGGCTCACTGCCCAGAGAGGAACGAGGACAAGGAGAGAGAGAGAGAGAGAGAGAGAGAGAAAGAGAGAAGGGGAAAACTGTGGAGGGCGCTCATCGAACGGCGTCCGCGTTCTTAGACAAGGAATCGACGAACACTGACGGCGACCCCAGGCAATTGTTTGAGGCAGGAGGAGGAGGAGGAGGAGGAGGAGAAGGAGGAGGAGGAGGAGGAGGACGCGCGACTCCAATGGGTCCACCTGCTGCGAGACATCGAGGCGGCACAGGTCTCAGATCGCTGGCTGCGGCCTCGAGCACAAGGCAAGCCAAACAATTGAGGTTCATTTCAAGGGGCCACGCTAATTCCCCACCTCGAGGTATAGGGCGGGGGAGGTCGACCCGCACTTGAGGCGTGGCCTGTGGTCTCATCGCATCGTCGCTGAGCGTCGGCATTGGCAAAAGCTTGGGATGATGCCCGCCCAACCGACCACGCTAAGGTATCCACGCTTAGGCATGGCAATGAGACACAATGTCAAATGCTGCTTGGCGGGAATGTTTGAAAGTCTCGGGTGCACCGAACAGGGGGTCCAGGAAGGGGGGGATCGCGCACCATGGCCTCAGGCATGTGCGCGAACGGGGGGGGGCAGGGAGCGCACTGAAAGAAGAGCAAGAAGAATTGGCCATGAAATCGGGGAGACTTCATGGCCCCCTCCCCCCGACCCCCCACCCTCACCCTCTCGCATAAAGGCGCTCAAAATCCTGAGACCCCTAACCAGCCTCGAACGTTTCCCTACCCCTAAAATTAACAGGCCAAAAGTCGACGACAATCTTAGGGATGCGCCCTCAGAAACGGAGGGAATCCCTAAGATCGGCATCGAGATGAGGCGATGCCAATCATAGGGGATATGCTCCAGGCTGGTGAGACCCCCTCCTGGTCACGCAGCGGGACGTGTGCCGCCTCTTCCTCCCGAGACTCTCTGGGACACCCGGCGCCTCCCTGGGGCTCCCCGAAGCTCTCCATGGTTCCTACGACGGCTGGAGAAGGACAGCCAAGGCCGCAACGTTGGCCCAACATTGCCTGGCACCCTAATAACCCCCGAAAGCAGACCCCAAAAGAGGCCAAGGGCGCAAGAGGCGACCAGGAGAGCTAAAAGAAGGCCAAGAGGCCATGCAAGAATCATCATATCATTAAAGAAAAACAAACATGAATCAAGGGCAACATTCGGGTGTTGTGCATTTCGCATGTCCCGGGCATCTCGGTTAAAGATGGCTCCAAGAATGCCTGGGACAGACAAAGACAGCCCCAAAGAGCCACATGAGGGTCCGAAGAGGCACCACTCTGGATGGCCCAGAGCAGCCTGAAGAGGGACCCAAGAAAGGTCAAAAAAGATCCCAAAACAACCCAAGAGAGCCCCAAGACGGCCAAATACACCAAGACGGCCCCACAAGGGCCCAGAAGAGTCCCAAGACAGCCCAAACAGGCCACACGAGAGCCCAAGGAATTAAGACGAGACGTTGCTTATATTCAGGCCTTCTCGGCGGTGCTCGAAGCGTGAGCACGCAGTGCTGCGCTGGCACTGGATGGCAGAACTTGAAATGGACAGCTGTGTAAGATGCTGTTGCTTTGGTTGGTATCCTAGATTGCGAACGCTCGCATGGCTGCCGACAGGCAGTTCCTGTTGAGGCGACTGATGGGTTTCAAGGAGTACGTGCGTTGACGTGCACCCTGCGCAGTGCAGTTATGTTGCTTGTGCCAGCTATGTGGTTCAAGCGCTGTGGTGCATCGAGTGCGGTGCAATGTCAGTAGTGCAAGCTGTGCTGTGGAACACACTGCGGTGTAAGCTATGTGGTGCACGCTACGTGATGCAAGCTATGTGGTGCAAACTATAATTCACAATACATGTGGTGCTATCTACTTGGTGCAAACTATGCAAAGGAAGCTAAAGGTGGTGTGGTGCAAACTATGTGGTGCATGATATGGGGTGCATCCAATGCATGCGGTGCAACTTACGCAATGCAAACTACCTGCGAGGTGCAAGCTGCGGGGTGTAAGTTACGTGGTGCAAGCTGCGCCAAGAACGCTAGTCGGTATTAGATGCGCAGTGCAAAAAAAACGATGCGTCGCAAAGTACATGGTGTAAGCTTTGCGGTGTAAATTCAGTGCAGATCACGCGATGCATACGATGCGGTACAAGACACGCGATGCATGCGGCAAGTCACGTGATGCAAACTATGTGGCGCAAGCTGTGTTACTCAAGCTATGCGCTGCAAGAAATGCAGTGTAAGTTAAGCGGTGCAAGGCATGCGGTGTAGGCGGTGTGACGCACGCTATGCTGTGAAAGCTATGCTGTGAAAGCGATGTGGTGTAAGCTATGTGGTGTAAGCCATGTGGTGCAAACGATGCGGCGCCTAGCCGTGGGGACGCACGTGGCGCCCACGGGACACGGGACAACAACCTGGCACCTCCACCCAAAACGCGGTGCCAACACGAGGCGCCAACTGCCAAACACCAACCGACCCCCCGTGATGAACATAAGCGACACAAGTCGGAATATCACGTTCACAACAACAACAACACCTGCTGCTACTACTACTACTACTACTACTACTATTACTACAATACTACAATACTACAATACTACTACTACAATGTTAGTATTACTGCTACTGCTACTGCTACTACTACTACTACTACTACTACGACGACTACTACTACTACTACTACTACTACTACGGCTACTGCTACTACTACTACTACTGCTACTACTACTACTACTACTACTGCTACTGCTACTGCTACTGCTACTGCTACTGCTACTGCTACTGCTGCTGCTACTATTACTACTGCTACTACTACGACTACGCCTACGCCTACGCCTACGACTAATACTACGACTACGACAACGACGACTACTACTACAACTACTACTACTACTGCTACTACTACTACTACTACTACTACTCCTTCTACTACGAGTACAACGGCTACGACTACGACAACGACTACTACCACTACTACGACTACTA